TGATACTGCCATTGTAAGGTTAACGGTCCTTTTGCATGTCTATCTTCATCAACACTGTGATTTCTATTGTACAAAATAGTTATATTTTCTTTTGGTTTGTATTTGTGTTGGAAGACATGCAATTGTCAACGGCAGAACTGACAAACCTCACATTAATTGAGATTGAGAATATGATGCAATCAAATAGAAGAAGCTTGCGTGAATTCAAAGATATGCCGTTTCCAGATTTGTATATAACGCGACATGTCGGCAATAGACTGATTTTTGATGAACGTGATTACGATGCTGATTCAGAGCGACAAAACTTCCAGAATCTATTTTCATCTTTAACAGGTATTTCCTCATTATTCAAATATCGATGTTTTCATTAAACTACTGTTGTATTGATTCTTTTCATTTGAACGTCAAGATGAGCAACGTGCAATCTTTGAAACCATAATGGACGCCGTCAAGAAACAAAACGGAGGCGTGTTTTTTTTACATGGATACGGCGGAACCGGTAAAACGTTTATGTGGAGGACATTATCAAGTGCACTTCGTTCAGATAAAAAAATTGTTCTGGCTGTTGCTTCAAGTGGCATAGCTTCCTTATTATTGCCAGGTGGTAGAACAGCCCATTCGAAGTTCAAAATTCCCATTCCAACGCTTGACAACTCTACTTGCAATGTTGACAAAGACTCTGAGCATTCACAGTTATTCGAAGCTACTGATGTCATAATATGGGACGAAGCACCCATGGCTCATAAGAATTGTTTTGAGGCCTTGGATAAGACCCTTAAGGATGTCATGAGCGATAAGGGTTTTGCAAATACAATTTTTGGTGGCAAGGTAGTTATATTTGGAGGAGATTTTCGACAGATACTTCCAGTTGTTCCAAGAGCAGGCCGTTCTGATATTGTTCATGCTTCCATTTGTTCTTCTTATGTGTGGGACTATTACCAAGTCTTAACACTAACCAAAAACATGAGACTACAGAATGGGAGGGACGTTACAACTTCTGATGAACTTGCAGAATTCTCTAAATGGATATTAAATGTTGGCGACGGTAAAATATGTGAACCTAACGATGGATTAGCTGATATAGAAATTCCTCCTGATTTGTTAATTTCCAATTTTGAGGATCCAAGAAGAGCTATAGTTGAAAGCACATACCCAAATTTGCTTGCCTACTTTCAAAATGTAGAATTTCTACAAGGAAAAGCAATACTTGCTTCAACCATTGAAGTTGTTGATAAAATTAATCATTACGTGTTAGACATGATATCGGGTAAACTCTTTTTTCTTTTGATGTTTCTTTTCGTGTAGATGTTTCGTTATTAAATAAATCTTGAAAAAACATTATGGATTGATTCGCGTTTTCCCATTTCTTAGGTGAGGACAAAGAGTATTTGAGTTTTGATTCGATTGATAGAACTGATTCAAGTTACACCGAAGCCTATGAATGTCTTACTCCAGAATTTCTTAGCAAGCTTAGGACTTCAGGTGTCCCAAATCACAAACTCAGATTAAAGGTTGGTACACCAATAATGCTTATGAGGAATTTGGACCAAAACGATGGTTTGTGTAACGGAACAAGACTAATTGTTACAAGGTTGGCAAATCACGTTATTGAGGCAAAGATCATGTCTGGTAAGAATGTTGGTAACATCTTTTTCATCCCTCGAATGTCTATGTCACCTTCCGAGTCACCGTGGCCATTTAAGTTGATTAGGAGACAGTTCCCAATTATTGTGTCGTACGCAATGACAATTAATAAGTCTCAAGGCCAATCACTTGATACAGTTGGATTGTATTTGCCTACTCCTGTATTCAGTCATGGCCAGTTGTATGTAGCCATTTCAAGAGTTACAAGCAAAAGTGGTCTAAAGATCTTAATACATGATAGTATGAATGTATCAACATCTATCACTACAAATGTTGTATACAAAGAAGTTTTCCAATCTCTTTGTTGATTGGTAAGTACATAATAACAAATAATTTCTTTAATATAAATTGTTTTCGTAAATGCTGTCTAATTTTTGCATCATATATTGTGCAGGTGATAAAGTTGAAAACATCGTTTCCAAGCTGGTTGCGTTGTATCTGAAGACTCATGATAGTTTCTTATTTTGAAGAGTCATCACAGTTTCTTATATTGTTACACAATCATGATTTCAGTTTACATTTTTTAATGTTGTCAAATAAGTTTGATACACTAAATTTGGCCGAATTAGATGAACTTTTATTGAATTTCATAAAAACGATTTTACTGTTACATGACAACATTAGTTCCACGTTTTATGAATTCTCGACCGGCCCCGTGCGACAACACGGGTTATCGACTAGTTTTCTATAAAAACAACAAATAAATACGAGATAAATAGAATCACATATCTAACTATCAAGAAAGGAGTATCTTAATTAATGTGTTAAAATTTGAACCAGAAAATAGTACTATACGTTATGTATATTCTAACTTCTTTGTAACCAAAAAAAAAAGTAAATAAATGAAAAAACATAAATAAACAATAGAATAAATAAGAATAAAAATGAATAATATAATAAATTAAAATTAATAAACAATAATAAAATTAATGAACATCAATAAAATTTATTATTAATTCCTCCATCTTCCACAATCCCAACTTCTTCAAAATATGCACCAGAAAAATTAACAAACATAATAAAATTAATTTTATGAAAAAAATACTTTTTTGTAATGCATCAATAATTGAACCTACAAAAAAAATTCAAGAATTAAAAAATATTTAATTATAACTTTCATTTTCTATTTAGTTTTTTTCTTGATTTTAATCCTTCTATTTTAAAAATTATTATTTTAATCTTTTTTTTTAAAGTTTTGTGTTTGGATAATTATATTTATTAATAACAAAAATTTGATAGTTAGTGGAATTATGTAAACATGTGTAAAAGAGAGATTTTTTTATTTAACAAGTGAAATATCCGTACATTCACACGAGTACCGTATGATATGCGCATTGTTAAAATATAATATAAATTAAATTAATTTTTTTTTTAAAATATAATAAATCGGTGCCTATAATTCTTTCAATATATAAAAATAGTTGTATAAATAATATATATTTTTTATATAAATATTATTTTTGTTTTGGAATTGTTGTAAAAAATATTTAAACCAATAGTCAAAATATTCTATTAATATTCAATTTTTTTATCAGCAATTTCGTGTTCCCGTTAATATACGATAGTTTGATCAGTAATTTCATGTTCTCGTTAATGTTCAATATTTTGATCAATAACTTAATATTTTCATTAATATTCAATATTTTGACCAGGAACTTCATGTTCTCGTTAATATTCAATATTTTGATCAATAGCTTCATGTTCCGGTTAAAATTCAATGTTTTGATCAATAATATGTTCCCGTTAATATTTAATGTTTTGATCAGTAACTTTATGTTCTCGTTAATATTCAATATTTTGATCAGCAACTTCATGTTCTCGTTAATATTCAATATTTAGATCAGTAACTTCATATTTCAATTAATATTATATATTTTGATCAGTAACTTTATATTTCCGTTAATATTCAATATTTTTATCAGTAACTTTATGTTTTCGTTAATATTCAATATTTTGATCAATAACTTCAAGTTCTCGTTAATATTCAATATTTTAATCAGTAATTTCATATTTCCGTTAACATTTAATATTTTGATCAATAATTTTATATTTCCATTAATATTTAATATTTTGACCAATACACTCGTGTTCCCGTTAAAATTTAATATTTTGATCAGTAAATTCATGTTACCGTTAAAATCAAATTATTGAAATGATGTTTGAATCTTTATGTTTAAAAAAACATATTTGTCATTTTCAAATATAGTCTGTTGACAACCGATAACTGATAGTATTAATATAATTAAGCAATCATAAATTTTAAAAAAGATGTAGTAATTGATGTAGTTGAACAAATGTTATTGATTTAATAAAAAAAAAAGTGGTTGATTCGATAAAAAATATGATTGATATAATAACTCATGTGTTCGTACAGATTTTAATATTATTACTTGTGTGTTAATACGGATACCAATATATTACGTATATTTATAATAAAAATGAAAAAAAAACAAAAAAAAAACAAAATTATTTAATCAAAACAGTTTATTATTTTTAAAATATAATAAATATTAATAATCCAACAGAGCAAGGTACTAAAATTGAGTTGTTTATAGTTGAATAACTATGGAGTTAGAAAAGGCTATTTATAAAGTGACAATTAACATAACATGCTTCTATGGGACTTGTTATCATAAAGCCAACGAAATCAAATTATTTTAAGCACGGGTAAATTTATTTTAAGCATTTAAAAATAATGTAATAATATAGTATATATAGTATTATATGTACCTGTAAATATGAGTGAGTCATGATCATGCCTACCTTATACTACATCTAAGTTTCAATTATAAATTAGTATTCACTAATAAATCAGAATCATGATCATGCCTACCTTATACTACGTCTACACATGTTTTATGGTTATTTAATTATCAATTACAATAAAAAGAAACTAAAACAAATTACATGGAAGAATCGGTTGCTAGTAAAATGGCTTTTTGAAATTGTTTATGATGGTATTCGCAATATTTGATAATTTTGTGCAATAACTATTGTGTCTCAGGATTGGTATTACTATATTTTTCATTTTGTTGTGTTTTAATCACTTTAATTAACAGAACTTTTATTTTGTCTTAAGACATATATTCCGTTAGAGTATGGTAATTATTCTAGAGTATTTTGTTATCAATACTTATATTTTTTTTTAGAAAATGTAAATTTCAGTAACTTGAACGGGATCTTTTTGAAGTTCATCAAAGTCATATGATGATAAATTTAAAGTCGATATTTAGAAAAAGTATTGAAGTTAAATAAGAAATTTAGTTTATAAGGCTTAATCAAATTGACATTTAAAAATATCTAAATACTTGGCAAAAAGGCATATCACAACAATAAATTTCTACACAAAATTGAATTTATTTATAAGGCATATCACACCAATAAATTTCCCACCAGCAAATGCCAAGGCTATAGACATCACATATCCTATTGTAAGGTTTACCATCAAAAACCTACACATTATGTAAAGCATATGTTAATATTTCAAATTAACAACTTCAAGTTTCCATCTATTAAACCATGTGAGTAATTTGGAAGTTGCAACTATTAGCATATGTACACCATGTGAGTATCAATACCTCGGGAGCCATATAGTTGAGGGTTCCAATTTCACCAGTCATATCACTTGGATTCATAGCATCAACGCGAGCAACTCTAAAATCAGCTATCTTTAGATTCTGGTTACCATCTAGCAACATATTCTCCGACTTAACATCATGATGAACAATCTTCTTCGAATGCAAATAGCTAAGACTACATATTAGGGGAAATAAATTAGCATTCTATATGTATCAGTATTGAATTTGCAGTTTCTAATCGTAGGGATAGAAAAAAAGGACCTACCCTTTGGAGAGGTCCAAAACAAGCTGAACCACAATCTTATACGCAAGTTTCTTTCCCCTGTTTTTTATCAAGTATTGTTTCAGCGTTCCACCAGTGAGAAACTCGGCGATAACACAACATGTCCTAGAAGGAAGGGTCTCTTGATTGTCAATAGAGTTTTTTGAAGGAATCTTAAGATTCGTAGTTCCCATTGAAGCTCCAACAAACTGTTGCAGAAATAAATACAAAACAATCACTAATCTGAAAAGTTATTCATGATTCATCGATACGAAATCAACAAAGGAATATTAAAAGCCTTTCTCATGATTGATGAAATCAATAAAAGTGGTTTAGAAGTGGAAGCTGAATAGGAAAGCTTGAGTTACAATTCTCACAAGCATGCAATATTTATACTATAAGCTAGTATAGGATAACTAATGTTACACAAGTGACTTATTAATTTCTTGTGATTGAATATATTAATAAATTATTGGTGTCTGTTAATTGTATTTAGCACTGGTTTTATGGATAAGTTGATTGCTTGTTATCATTCCATTAAATGAGCCTCTAAAGTGGGATGGTAGGATAATAATATTGCAAGTTAGTTAGGGAAGGTTCAAATACTCTATTCATTGTAAAATAATAAGTCTTGTGTTTAATAAATAAACTGCACTTCCAAAACAATACATTTAAACTTACACTTCTTTCATGAAGACTCATGATATGCAATCCCCCTAGTTACACTGCAAACCCAAAAAACTCAAACATTATCACCATGTACATTATTATAAACATTATAGATGCTCCAATAATGCTAAATATAATTTATAACTTTCAATTAAAAGCATAAGTGTTGCCACTACTGTAAATTATAGTTTTGCTTTAGCGATGATGTAAGTCCACCATTCACGGAGCCTCACCCAAATGCCATACAAATGCAATAAGACAATAAAACAGAAGATATGTTTATCGCTAAAAGCTAAAATAAATAAGACTGGACAACCTTAAACAACAACAACATCAGTGAATCAACCGCAAAGTGCTTCAACAAAATCACGGTACCATTGTGATTTTGTTAAATCTACCATGATATCAAACATGAACTATGCTAATAGTTGGATAGCTCAAATACAAGTTCCACAATTCACACTTTACTTCATAATCCTTTTATTAACCTTAATTTATTTTACAATTATCACTTTAATTAACTATTATAATAATAAAAAATTAAATTATAATTGAAAACTTTTACAAAATTAAAAATTTAATACAAATAAATAGTTTATAAATAAAAATATATTATTACACACATCATATATATTTTTAAACATATTTTTATATCATTTACTTGTTGATTTACAAATGAATCTAAGAGTTAAATGTTTAATTCAAAATAAACTCTAACTCAATAATCGATCATATTCAAGATATATCACCAAATCATTAAATACATAATATTTTATTAATATTTTATTTAATTATTTTTCTCATTTCCGATCATAATTTTTTTTATTAAAACACTTTAAAAAGTCAAATATAAAAAGATTAAATAAAAATCTCAAGAGCATTGATTAAAGGGAGGAATATCTTTAAAATTAATGAGCTAAAAATTTGAAGTTGAAAAAGTAGTATAAACTAGACGTATACGGTAAATTTTATTAAATTATTTTTAAAAAATATATATTTAAAATATAATATAATTATTTCATATTAATTGTATTTTTTTTATAAAATATTAACATGTAATACATTGAATTTGATGAAAAATAAAACATACATGCTTTTAATATAATTAAAAAAAATGAAAAGTGTTTATAAAAAAAAGTCATATACTAATCTGTTTTTACAAATCAACTTATTGTATATAGGTAACTAATAGGATTAAAAATTAAAGAAAATAAAAATTAGATAAATCATAATGAACAAAAAAAAAGTAAATAAATGAAAAAACATAAATAAACAATAGAATAAATAAGAATAAAAATGAATAATATAATAAATTCAAATTAATAAACAACAATAAAATTAATGAACATCAATAAAATTTATTATTAATTCTTCCATCTTCCACAATATATATATATATATATATATATATATATATATATATATATATATATATATATATATATATATATATATATATATATATATATATATATATATATATATATATATATATATATATATATATATATATATATATATATATATATATATATATATATATATATATATATATATATATATATATATATATATATATATATATATATATATATATATATATATATATATATATATATATATATATATATATATATATATATATATATATATATATATATATATTATATATATATATATATATATATATATATATATATATATATATATATATATATATATATATATATATATATATATATATATATATATATATATATATATATATATATATATATATATTTGCATTTTCTTCAAAATATGCACCGGCAAAATTAACACACATTAATAAAATTAATTTTATGAAAAAACAATTTTTTGTAATGCATCAATATTTGAACCTACAAAAGAAACTCAAAAATTAAAAAAAAAAGATTTTATTGTAATTTTGGTTTCTTATTTAGTTTTTTTCTTGATTTTGATCTTTCTACTTTAAAAATTATTATTTTAGTTTTATTTATTTATTTTAAGTTTTGTGTTTGAATTTAGTCCTCGTTCAATTTGATGTTTATTTTCATTGACGTGATACAATTTTAATTGACGTAGCATTGAATATTTTATTTACGTCATTTTTTAATTCTTTTTTAATTTTTATAATTATAATTATTTTGTTCATTTTTTATGAAATAATGATAAAATCAAAAAAATTGATTCCAATAAATTTAGAATCCAGGAACATTAGTTACCAAAAGTCAAACCACTGCACTAATACTTTCAAATTATAATTAATTCTGTCAGAATTTATTTATAACAACCATTTGACGAGACTTGGGAGTTTGTCTCGAGGATGCCTGGGAGACCTAATTCAGACGTGTGGGTTGCTTTACTTAGTTCGTGCAGACTCCACGAAAATATAGAGATGGCAAAGTTAGCAACAAATGAGCTTTTCAAGCTGAATGCTACTGGAAGACCGGGAGCATGCGTTGGAATTATTTTTTGGAATAACCATGTATTAAATTTTTTTCCCGCAAATAACTATGTTTCGGAAAAAATTACACAAATAACCATGTTTCAGAAAACTCCCCAAGAGAAGAGTCATCTCACTTGGCGCCTACACCTAATTTTTAAGGGGAGGCGCCATCTCACTTGGCGCCTAGGTGTTAAAGTCTTGCCCTAAGCCAAGTGAGATGGCGCCTTAGTGCAATTGCAATGCAAATTTTCGCGTTTTTTATTTTAAATGCAGTGTGTTACGTATTCGATATAGGATCAATAAAATTGACTTTTTATTTACAAAATATGATTACATACATAACTACTACATAAAAAACAGATTAATCAGTGGTCCCCCGAAACCCGGTAATGACCCCTGGTTCCGCATCCCCGTCCTCGCCTTTCTCGTGCTGGGTTTCGTCGCGTTTCCTGTTGTGGCAGGGTCGATGGCCCAGCGAAGCCAATGCATTCCGGATCCATGAAATCAGTCAGATCTCCATATCTAGAAGACCCGCTTTGGTACAGTCGATTACCCATATCCTCAAAGTTTGGTCGTGTTGGTGGTGGGTGGGGTTCCATGGTTGGTCTGTAGCACTGGTCGTATGAGTACGGGGGGTAGAAAGAAAATGGATCTTGGGGTGTTTGGTATTGAGGATGTTGGGTGGTTTGGTGATGTTGTGGTTGATGGTAAGTTGGGTCGGTTGGTTCATAATCTTCGGACAATTCTAGATCAGGGCTAAGGTTGGATGTTTAGGGGCCCATATTGGGTTATGCAGAAGATTGAAATTGTGTGTGGGGTATGCGGGTGTGTTGGTATTGTGATTGAAATTATGGTTGGGTGTGAGGCATATGGGGGTATTGGTACTGAGGTGGTGATTGTGGTTGGTTGTGGGGCATGTGGGTGTAATTGTATTGTGGTGGTGACTGTGGTTGGGTGTTTGTGGTTCTGTTTCGTCGAGGGGGTTGGTGGGAGGTTGATGTATGTTGGGTTTGTTGTTGGGGAAATGAGGGTTGTTTCCATTGTATTCGTGGGTCAACCAAATACCTTGGATGAGACACGTGCATTTCAGGGGTACTAACCGATCTGTACCAAGATAAATACTGATCCGTGTGTCGCATATTACCATGGTTGAGGAAAACTGGGAATTTCAAGACATGTCGGTGACGCCTCTGCCATATCTTTCACCATTCTGGAGCAAAGTCTTTCCAGTTGGTAAGACCCTATTGAGCATCGACCCTTTTGAGATACCACGAGGACAAACAAGTCGGATCGCTGGGTATCTATTGATTCATTCCAAACTGCATCTTTACACGGTCGATGTGGTGCATCTCCACAACATTGAATCGTATGATTGCAGTCTTTGCGCTCCAAATTGCTGCATCCTCGGGGTTTGGTTCATGGCCCAAACCCAAATATGGTCACCAGACAAACTGCAGATAAAATTAAATCAGGTTGATGAAAATGTAATATATAAATAATTTAAAAGTAGAAAAGTTGAAAGGTACGCCGTACATCATCCGGGCCAAGGTGATCCAATAGATTACGGTATAGTGCGACATTGAATCTTGGATTCTTGTCGTAATCCATACCCCTCACGCAATACCTAAAGGAAATGAAAAATATTTTATTTTTATCATATATTTGGTGAAGAGATAAATAGTAATAAATGATATAACTTGATGACTTACTTTGTTGCGTATGGGAAAACGAATGTGTTGTTGTTGACGAGGTTTAGGGACTCCATCCTCCACCAACCCCAGGCTTGAAGTAAAAAAGTGCAGCCATAAAATGTACATTTTTCCTTGATTGCATTTTTACACAAGGAACTGTATAGATGGGCTAAAATAGCAGAACCCCAACTATACTTTCTAGTTTTTTCGAAGTCTCTAAGTAAATTTAAATACATAAAATTTAAACTATTTCCCGTACTTTCGGGAAATAAAAAGGTTCCAAATAGTATCATTATATAAGTTCTAGGTTTTATTACCTTAGCTAGCTCGGAGGAATTTTTGTTCAATTCCAGAGTCGCATAATGATTTTTTAGCTCAGTTAGTA